TCGAATGTTACACAATATAAAAAAGATCGACATTTGATTTTATCACCTCGTGATATAACGAATGTCCATTATGCTGGAAGTAACGGATATATTATATATATATATTGTCAAAATGACTCACGATCACATGATACTCATTTGATAGCCCGTTTCCGGCAGTAATTTTTCCGATATACTGCGCATTTTTTGATGATCGATCTCACGACTAGCCAACGCACGACCTGTTTGCTTAAAGCAAACATTTATCCTCGTGCCCGTGCCTGTAGTCGAAGAGACCAACTAATCTTAGTCTACTTTGGAACTGGTGATGAATTTGAGACTGATGACGGAGAATCTGAGACAGATGATAGTAATGACTTCAAGACCGATGATGACGTTTTGATTACTTCTGTTGTGTATATTTGGCCCGTTGTGAAAAAAGGTATAGGATCTTTTCAAGCCCAGATGGCTCGTCATCGTAATATCGTACTTAGAGAATTGACTAGATGCCTTCCAAATATTTCTGAACAAGTAAAAAATGGATATTTGACGCATTTTTTAGATCTGATGCATTGAGGTATCCCATCTTCAAAGTAATATTCCTCCTTGTGAACCTGATGCCAGGGTTCAAAATTTGATTATAGGAGATCGAAACTTTTGGATGCTTGATTAATGAATTCTTTAATCTTTCGTATCCTTTCTGGAATAACAATTTTCGGGTTTTGATCATACCATACTTCAATAAGGAAGATTCCATTATCTTGACACATGCATCTTTTTTGCCGATCACGGTTAATGATGTCTTCGAGTTTCTTAACATCTTTATACCAGCTAGTACTATGAAGCCGATGCTGAGCCCCTTGCACCTCCAATGCGATTTGATATTTTTGGAAGAAAGCATCAAGCTCTAATCCATTCAGGAAAGAAGGGCAATATTCGATAATAGGTTCCTCATTAAGAATTTCCTTAGTTATCTGGATGCATCTGGTCTGGAATTTGCGATTTTTTTTTAGATTCTCTTCCTGCCTGATCCTGCTCTAGTTTTAAAATTCTAGCCTCAAGCTTGGTGAAGCTCTGTCTCAATGCTTCAAGCTTAGCTTTCTCGTCAGTTTTCTTAGCCTCAAGCTCAGTGATCAATACTTCAAACTCAGATGACATGATAGATAATATTTTTACATACGAAAGAATTATTCAATGTTACGTGACAAATGTAAAACCACTTTATTAATACATGCGAAAAATAAATACAAGTGTTCAGGACGTAGCCCGTGATACATGACGAATTTTCTATGCTATATCTAATCCTACAAGCTAACTAACCACCTGACATTTACGTGACTTGGAAATTCGTCCCTCCTTTACGAATTGTCTGTAAAATACATTATTATTAAGATTACAAAATCGCAGTACAGGGATTTGTGAAATAATAGATTCTTACGCTTTATATCTATCTAGTAAGTTAGAATATTTGAGATGTTCCTCCTTGAAAAGCTTTCTCTTCTTTTTGTGTCCTCCCGACTTGCCATCCCGAAGTCAATCAGATAGACGTCACCGTTATCATTAATTAAGATGTTTTCCTCCCGAATGTCATTATGGAGGATGCCATGCTTGTGGATCGCTTCTAATCTCTTAATAGCCTTTGTTCTTTACCGTTTGGTTAGTTTATGTTCGCTCAATGAGGTATCAGAAATGGTCATGCCGATGACGAAACACATACCTCCCCTATAATATCCATAACAGACCAGTTTTGGGATATACTTGCCTTAAATATCGGCTAGGTCTTTATAAATCTCAACTTCTTTTTGCATTTCTTCCAGAACATACGATGGGGCTTTAGATAAGTCTACACTCTTCAAAGCAATCATATTACCATGAAATTCACATAGGAGCGTTTTTCCACTTCGTTTAGTATGCCCTTGAACTTGAAGTCTGTGAAGCTAAACTTTTGCTGGTCTACAGGAGGGTTGTTGGAAGCGTCAAAGGCAGAAGACGATTGTTGATTCGCAGAGTGTTGAAGCCTGATTATTTAATGAGGAGCTAGAAGGTGATTTCATGTGTGATCAAAGAACACATGAATTATTGTCCCCGTGAACTGGTACTAATACTTGAGGATGAGGAGACTTGGGATTCTCTTTTGCTTGTCAAGCTAGGTAAGTATATGCCTTGAGTACAGGTAGAGATTCGGATTGCAGTGGAAGGGTTTTTGAGATCCAGAGTTCCATGTATTCTTGGCGTAAAAACCAGTGATTGTCATAGGTGGTAAGAATACCATATCTAAGTTCGTTTGTTCCCATATAATTATAGATTTATTGAATTACATCCTTGCCCTTACTTGTCTTATAAAACTTGGGAAATGTCTGTCTACCCATATCTTCTAAAACATGCTTTCTTTTTGCCTCAATCACTAAGATCAATGAATCTGTGAGATGACAGTTAAAATCTGGTATTCCAGGAGTGTGAGTAGATCGCCTTGAATATACGTACTCTGCTGTAAGATCATTCAATGTCAAACGAACATCCTCCTCAACTAGCACGATAACCCTATCATCAAATTTCAGCCTCTCGAATCTCGGCTGTTGGTCAAAGCGGAACCTGTTTACTTCTTCGAAAAGTCTCCCAAAACTTTACGCTTGTTGGTGGGACGCCATCAACTTTTGTAGTGGTCTTTGACAGAGTGCAATTTGGAGAGTAAATCATAGGTGGCAGAATACACGACAATGCCTCTTCCAAGCTAAGAACTGGAAACGAATACCTGTTAAAATTGCAAGGGCAAATGACGGAAAATTACATATTGTACCAGACACTTACGTGGCAATTTTACAATAACATGGATATGTTCTTCGAGAGGTGAGTCTGGAAAGTATTTCGAAATCTTTCTTATTGCCAACAGCTCGTCACTATCCTGGAGTATTAGATTTCTTAATTGATCGTTCTGATCACCAGGGATCATCACTTTCCATACTTTCAAGTCTTTCGTCTTGAAATTAGCTGGAACATCTATTTTTTCTTTTATAGCCTCTTTGAGGTGGCCTACAAGCTGGTCCTTATTAACATCGACAGGAAAAGCGTTCGCGAGTGTATTTCCTTTGATGAGGCAAAGTGATAGACATGTTTTCAGCTTATATAGTATTTTTTGTGAAATTTTATTGGTGCAAAGTGCGGTATGTGAGGACAAGAGTAAAAAGAATGTTATTTGCGCTGAGGCAGGATATATGTGAGAAATTATTCTGTTTCACAGACCTTGTAGTACAAATGCAGTAAATAAATTCTTCCGATCAAACTGATCAGTCGATCACCACTCCAGACTTGAAAAATTGAATTGGAAATTAGTATTGAATAACTTTAGCAATGGCTCGTAATCGTCCATCTCATAACAATCAACGTAAAACCAGAAGCCTGTTCACGACCAATCCAAGCAATATTTGCAACTGCAAAACTTTGAAAAATACAATCATGTTTATGATGCTCAGCTAAACTTTATGATCATCATTAATAGGAAAGAGTAATGATCCGAAAGGTATATTCGACTTTGATGAGCTTACTGGCTTCTTAGAGACGAACCAGTGCTATTATTGTATTAACAGTGTGAAATTAATTCAGAACACTAGATCCCTTTAGGATCAAATGATTTGTAATACTTTATTTATGAAATAAAAAACATTGCTGGTAACCGGCCTACAATACATAAAAACTATTATATAACATGATGTGAATAAAAATATAATTAGTTTAAAATTCGTTCTTAGCGCAAGCGCGAAGTTCACTTTCTGATTCGCTAGAGCCCAGTATCCTCGGGTTTTTTTTCCAATACTTCCTGGAGGTATATGACAACATGAATAGGATCTATTTCACCATCATATTGAAGATAAGGAGGGTTTTTTTTAAGTCCTTCTATATCTTCCACGGAAAAATAATAAGTAAACTTATTGGGAGGCTCCATCAATTCCCCTTGTCTTTTTTTGGTAGTATTCATAGTATTGACTAAAGCATGATTGGGTTGTTTGAATTTTCTTACATATAGATCGAAGTTTTTTTGACTTAAGTCTCGCCGGACCTTTCTGATTTCGATTCTCAGATTTTCAACGGTTGAATTATTATTAATTACTATAGGGAAAATATCTTTCTCAGTCTCACCACGAACAAAGCAGACGAGACAAATATTGCTAGTAGTGAAAGACATCTTGCTTTCCTAAATACAAGAGCCTATAGTGAGAAAAACTCACTCTCATACATACACAACTTCTGGCATATACATACCTTAATTTTTTGCGGGAAGGTTGTCTGAACTTCTACATACCCCCTACATGCTTTATATTTTGCTCAGGAAAAAAATAAGGAGGTATGAGGCGTGATTAGTATTGTCGTATGATGCCAAGAGTCCCTTGAAAGCTCATGTAAACGGAATCTTTATACCTTTTTACATGTAGATCTACCAGAAAGACATATAGTTGGCTTTACGTCTGGCGATCTCGGAATTGTGAGTTCACCAGCCTTTCATAACATATGCTTTTGCCGTCGGTATTTACTTTTACAGTAGGCTCCATGTTGCAACTAGACCTCCTTTCACATTTTTCTCACATTTGTTCGGGAAAAAAATAGAGGTACTGGTTAGCGAATATATATGCGAAA